GGCAACGGTGGGGCATCATCTAATAGCGAGAGGTGGAGCGGCGCGCCGAAAAAAGTTGTCAAAAAAGCTCGCCGCTCGCTGCGTGACAAGTTTTTTTCGGCCCGCCGCTCCACCTCTCGCTATTAAATGATGCCCCACCGTTGCCTGCCGAGTCCGGCCTGCCGCCTTCTACGCTCTTATTCGCTCAGACATTAAAATTAATTTCTCGATAACTATTGCGAATTTTGCAAAATGATATAGGACTTTTCTATTCAGTTTTCCCCGGTCTATCTACCATCTACGGGACATACGGGTATTAGGACACACCCTGTACAATTTTTGTCCAAGCGACGCTGTTGCGCACCCGCGGAAATTGGTACACTTGCAAAGGGCCGCGTTTGTTTAACGCACAATCGCATTGTGGTAGCGCGTGGGGCGCGACGTACATACAACACGCTAGTCGCCGATCTCTGCGAAATCGTGTCTTTTCCGCAGGGCAACGGAAGGCGGTTTAGCACCGGATGCGGCTGCAGGCGCCGGCACCGACGGCATCGTCGGTGGCCCGCGAACCCCACAGCAAATTGCCTCGCAGAAGCGGCTGCAGGCGACGCAAGCGCAAGTCGACGAGGTCGTCGACATCATGAAGACGAACGTCGAGAAGGTCCTCGAGCGCGATCAGAAGCTCTCCGAGCTCGACGATCGAGCAGGTGAGATCCATCTTCCGCGCAGCCCGAAAACCTGGCGTCGTCAAAATCGCCGTCAATTACTTTCCATCAGAGTCGAAAGCTCAAGCGACAGTTAATCTCATCAGTGAATTAGATTCCATTCTGCCAAATTACACGTCATTTACTTTGCAATTGTGTAAATCGCTCCGTGGCGAATTTGCGCGCGCGGCATTAACGCACACACGCCGATATATCCATTAATTATTATATACGTCGCTTCATTCTTCGTTGCTTCTACGTCAGGCACTTACTTATTCATGGCGGATATCATTTGTTGCGCGCCGCGAGATTAATTAATGCCTTGGAAGTGCGAAAATATATGCTGCCGCGTCCCCGCGTAACAGGACACGGCGCAAACTCTTAAGATAATAATTGCAGCGCGAATTATTGCATGCATCGCGACGCGACATCGCATTGTTATTCACGACCGTGCATCGCTGTACTGAATACAAGAGCTAAACGGAAAATATGATCGTGGGGAGAGACTACACCTTCCATTCATGGTATCGCGGCGGTAAAGCAGCCCGATCCTGCGCGTCTGACTACACGTTGATATCGATTACTGTGACACGCTCGAATCGATGCCACGTTACGTGGCCGGTGAACGTCGATCCCTTTCGCATTCCGCGTGTACATTTATCTGCGCAAATATATTCGCTCTAATAAATTACGTTATTTACGCCCCGAGTTTCTCGCAGAATTCTTTTTCCCTTCGAGCAAAATTATACGCTGTTCTTTTTTTTCTTTTTAATTATTTACATCGGAGGACGACTTTTACTCGAAGGATCCCTTTGCTTTCGAAGTTACATTTTTAAAGATGCCCGAGACAAATCCGATGGTATACCCGCGTAATTGGCTTTTGCAGATGCACTCCAGCAAGGAGCGTCACAGTTTGAACAGCAAGCAGGAAAATTGAAGAGAAAGTTTTGGCTACAGAATCTAAAGGTGAGCGTGAAAAATTTTACAAGTGAAACATCCACGGCGCTACCTCGCTATCTCAATAACGTACGTTTTGTCTCCCTTCGTTTAACAGATGATGATCATCATGGGTGTGATCGCACTCATCGTACTGGCCATTATTGTCGGTAAGTGTTCCACTGACGCACCAATGTTTAACAGCTGTCGACGCTGCCACTATAATTGTTTAAGTGTTCTGTGCCATCTCGTCGATGTATACATCTCGTCTCCCGATTTCGAGCGACTAATTCAGTGTCACTCCTCTTTCTGACGCACGTCCGTTTCAACGCGGTGGCAACCGACCGTTTAATTTCCAGTCAAAATCGCGGAAACCAACGTTCTCTCTCGCGTTCGCGTCCGGTAAAGATAAGTGTGAACTCTTGCCGCGGTTTGCATGAACTCCACTTTACTGTTTACGGCTTGGAAGACGTTGATCGTGTTACATCTGAATCAGTCGTTCCTGTCTAATGTCTCTTCTCTGTCGATCTATAACCCTTTGTGCTAAGGAAACGTCTACGTACAAACGATTGTGTTTGCACGATGCGAAAAACGACGCGATGTGACGAGCGAAATGCTGCCCGCGGATTTGCATAGCTTTCGAGAAATCCCCTCGCAGAGATCTCACGCGGCTTCTCGAAGAGATGTGCTTTGCCTGAAAATTATGTCGGCTACTCTGGGGAAAAAATGTCAGTTACAACCCATTTTGCGGCCCACAATTAGTAATCGAACTATTTAGATTGTTCGTAACTCTAATCTTTTACGAATTTTATCCCGCGTAACTAAAAATCACAATTAGCTGTTCTATTTATATCCAAGATATTAAAGTAATACTAATTTATATCCAAGATATTAAAGTAAGACTTTAATTAGTTCTGTCGATATTCAGTAACGCAAAGATAATTTTCGCTTAAGTGGCAATAACCGAAATGTTAAGTTGCTTAACTACATAAAAAAAACGGTCAAAATTTTTCCCAGAGTAGAGTCACGAACAATCCAAATAATTCGATTACTAATGGTGGGCCCCAAAATGGGTTACAACTGTCTTCTTTTTTTCCCCAGAGCACTTTGGCCTCGATTTCATATCTTCGCGGAACTTTGCCGAAAATCTCATACCCGCGAGCATCTCTTTTCTCTGTACTACGGAATAATTTTCACTTCAAATCTCAAGAAAGTTTTACTTCCCGGCGACATCGTTTTCTTGTGCATTTTACGAAAAAAAAGAGATTATAGTACCTTTTTCTGGCGCAAGAACACGTCTTTATCGCGCGGGATGTGAAATGCGCGAAAAAGACGCCGCTATGCAGTGTGATCTGTCTGAAAAAAACAAAAAAATGACGTCACTCTGTCTTCCTTTTGTTCCATTCATCATCTCTAACACGTGTGAAATGTATGTATTTCTCTTTTCCCGTCTAGCGAACTTCATGTAGGCGCGCTGATTGGTGGAAGAGATTTGTGTGTGAGTGAGTCTGAAGGTAGAAAGCAAAACAATTGCGACATTGCGTATCGTTGTTGTTTCTCACCCCGTTTTCTCTCTTTTACTTGTCGTAGAAAATGTATACTTGAAACCCCCCCTCACCCCCCATACGTTTCTCCGATTACGTTCTCGTTGTTTACCGTCCGACACGTAAAACAACTCCTCAACCCGATATTTAAAAACAAAAACTGTATCCTTAATTTCGATAACTGTTTGCCACGTAACAAACGTTGCCAGTTTTATAAAGAATTTATTACGTTGTTGCCGGATATTTTGTTTAAAGACAATAGCGACTTTAATTGCTGAAATTATTATTAAGCTTACAGTTAAACGCGCATTTGGTGATGAATCCTGATTGTTGTCATGTGCAGACATGATAATATATTGACGTACAATTATGACGAGTTATCGCTACAATATTTTATTATAGTGATAACTTTTTGTGTTACACGTTCGTGCGAAAAAAAATAACCGCGCGAGTGCACCCGCGCATTTGTAAAACTGGCACATTTAGTCGGTGTCTGCCTGTGATAGGTACTTGCTGTATCTGTTGCTACATGTATTCCCCACATAAGAACTCACCACCCGTGTCGTTGCATATTTATGAACCGCCGATTTAATTGGGAGAGCGCCCCAATTAAGAATCGCCGCGGCGACACAACGCGGAGCCTTCATAAATCTTCGACACAACGTCCCCCGCGATTCCCTTCTCTTACCACATCACAGGCCGTGCGAGTCAACCGCGAGTGTAAACAGTACGTAAAAGTTGCCGTTGTTTCATCCTCCCGCTAGGGATTTTTCTCAGCACTTTGTCCGACGTTTTGAGCGTCTTTTTTTAAAGTCCACAAGACGGAACGAAAGTGACGCGCGAGAAAATGCCCAGTAACTTTAACAATTTCAAGACACCGTTGCCACGATCCGTCACAATTCCGTGCTTCGGCCGAAGCCTACTTTAGACGATCTATATATAACTCGTCAGATTTCCGGGTGGAAGTTTAACAATTTTTGCTACACATTTCTATTCGCCGCTCCTTATATCCACGTGCGTACTTTCACGTATATTCCATATGTTCTGCTTGTTACTTTCGTGTCCACATTCAGCTATATTTCATATTAGATTACGAGTCGAACGTTATCCTGAATACAAATTCAAGATACAAATCTGACAACGAATTACAGACCGTCCGAAGTGAACTTCTTGCTGGACTGCGTGAATTAATTTTGAAGCAAAAGAAACGTCGGTTTCTTTAACGAATACCGACGGACTTTTTAAGGGAAATGTTTTCCGAGACACATCATACCTCACCCTCTATGTGCGTGTTACGACTGTAATCGTTGTTATGTGTCTGTCTGTACTTTCGGTGGTATCCTCTTTCTGAAGTTGGTCCCAGGCAGTGACTCTCAATTTTCTGGTGGTCAATTAACAAAGAAAAAAAAACAGATGCGAAAAAGAGTGTGCAGACGCGTGAAACAGACCGAACATACAGGCTACAAACTTGCTGCGGCGGCAGCAAAGAATACGATACAAAATACCACCAAGAAATAAAAAAAAACACAAGAAATGAAAACACCACAACGACAAACGACATCAACAACAAGTACAATATCGACAACAGTAAGAATTATCAAACAACTACAACTACAACAAAGTTTCTGTTTAATCCTATTCTACTCTTCGGTACGGTAAGCTATGATTTTATTGTTGCACCCGATATGACTTTTCTACCTTTTTCTCTCTTCTTGCGCCGAGATGCAATTTAAAAATCATCAAGCACCCTCTCTCTCTCTTACACTTCTTCCTTTCGTTTATTTATTCATCTTTACGTATTGAAAAACAGTCTTATATAAATGTGTAATCTGCATTATGTTTCGTAAAATACATCTTTTATCTTCTTACAAAGTCAAACGTGAAGAACATCAAGAATTATTTGACGCCAGTAAATGACTAACAATAATTAAGCTTTCGATCGACCATAACTGGCACCGTGTTTTCAACACAGACAATTTACTGCGAAAAACATTACCTCAGCCAGGGTTTGAACCTGGACTTCCCTACTCTCTAGGCGGGCGTCTCACCGACCACTGAGGCAAGAAAAAAAATTCTGTGTCAAAAACACGTTGCCAGTTACGGTCGATCGAAAGCTTAATTATTGTCAAACATAAAGGTTGTATATTATATATATGGTTTCAATTCAAATTACACATTTCTAATCGTTTATTTAATTTTTCATTTTACACACACATATACAGGGTGGGCCATTTTAATTTATACAGTCGATTTTTTAAAAAACTAAAAGAGATATGAAAAAATGTTTCAGACAAAAGTTGTATGGTTTCGAGGGGGACATAAGATGGTACCATAGGTTTGACCTTGAAGAGTAATTT